GACTGTCCCTGTATTGGATGACCTGTCCCCGGCTAAAGCTGTCCTGGGAAAGGTTCCCAATTTAAGCGTCTCATGACTGAGAACAAAAATGTTGCATGTAGACTACAAAAACAGTTATTACAGTAGCCGCTTGTAGGTCGGAAGCACGAGTAAGCATGTTGCGCACAGTCTTGAACAACAGTTTTTACGGGAGGATATTACGAGGGGGCGTGCGCTTATGCATTTGACTTTGGACCTTGCAGTCATATCTAATTCTGACAAATTTCCTTGTTGTCTTAAATGCCATCTAAATCCTGTAAAGTGGGACGATCCGCGGCAACCCCGACTTGATGACACTGTCATAATCTAAGATGGCAGCACAGTGCATCAACAGTAAAGAGTAACAGTGAAAGTTCTCGTATTGTATTATTTATTAGCACTTCTGTTTTGTTTTGTGTGAAATGAAATAAGTGGTATATGTTGTACTGCCCAATGTCTAACTGTGAACACGGTGCTATGGTGTTTGTAAGAGTAAAAGTATAGCTAACAAGTACTAACAACAGCTGACAACTGCTAACAACAACTGACAACGGCCAACAACAGCTGACAATTGTAAACAACAGCTAACAATGACTAACAATAGGCGTCCATCTTGGTTTTCCAACTTGTTAACTGGAACACTGTCAGCTCGGGTGTAATGTCATTCCCAGCTCAGACATCCGACTTCTGAGGTAACTGGAACGCAGCATTACATTCAGGTGATAGAGTATTACAGCATTGTTGCAGTTACCATCACCTAGAGCTATAGCTCTTAGACACAAACTAAGACCAACGCTGATGACTTCTTTGACCAATTAGTGAACCTGGTGCCAATTAACAGGAGTGAGGATAGTTTTATAGTTCACTAAACCCTCACATTCCTAAAACGGAACTCATGTTCAGTGTTGTATATTTGTGTCAGTGTATTTGTGATCTAAAGACAGAGATAAGAGCAAAACAAAAGCCTTACAATACAAGAAAAGAGCAGAGCACAAGAGGAAAAGTTCTCAGACTGTTCCAGCTGAAACACAAAACAACAACTCTTGATGTTTGATGGACCTCTGGTAGACTCTGGTGCTGGGGGCAAATCACAACATCATGCAATCACTCCAACAAAGGTCGGTGTATTGATCGCCGTGTATGTCTCCACTGTTTCATATCAGAAACATCTTTGCTCTTCCCAACATGTCTCCACCTCTTAAGATGACCTGAAGTGCACTGCTCTTTACAGACGTCCATCCCCAGATGGCTGTTTGGCCTGTCACGTGTGGGCTGCAGCGTCTCAAAGACTCGATCAGCAGACACATTGGTCTTTGTTTCAGAGCACCTGGCCTTTGTAGAAGTTTTCTGACGTTTTTTTTTTTTTTCTCCAGATGAACTTTTCTGTGTGTGTACACAGACAGATATGAGACAGGGAGAGTTAATCAGGTTCTGTGATCTACATAATTCTTCCAAAAGAAAGGGAGACAGTCATATCTTCATCCTTCAAAATGAATCAATAAAACGCACCAGTGTTGGATTAAGGATAAAGTGAAACCTTGATCTGTCTGGGGCTGATTCTTTATTAAACAGGGAGCGCAGACAAAGTCAAATATATCCATCTGATGAAACATTGTTTTAATTATTGGTCTCCATCGAGACATGTCACTCACATTGTGTCTCCGCTTGCAGGTGTGTGCCTTCTTTGAGCCGAGTGATGTGTGTCATTTCATTAAAAAAAAAAAAAAAAAAAAAGAGAGAAAAAAGAGAGAAAAAAAAAACATTTTCCTGACTTCCCCTGATCCTTAAAAAGCTGTGTTTCATGTCAAAGACGTGCATGGAAGATTTCACACCTTGTTTGACTCGTATGAAACAATCATGAGTTGGTATGAATGGCTTGTGATTGGACACGTGTTTTCCTCATGTCTTTTCTCGCTTGTTTTGTCGACATGGTAAAGTAGCAGAGCCTTCAAAAGTTCATCCATATGTTAATGTGCTCTTTAGCACGTCCTCGTGAGCATGTAGAGGGTCTCAACAGTGTGCTTCTCATACCCATTTGTGATCGATATCGGATGGGTATATGAGAGTGTATTGATTGTAATTTCCTGCGACGCTATGTTCCACTCTTTGGCTTTATCAGGAGACTAATTTCTATCAGCTATGCTGTCGGCCCACCAACAGCCCGGGCTGCTGCCCAGGACAACAACTAATGAATAAGAGAGGAACGAATAACCCAGGCAGGCATTTCTGCTCTGACAAACTGGTTGCCAAAGGGATGATAATGATGAGGTAGGGATATTGACCGTGGAGAAACGTGTGTGTGTGTGTGTGTGTGTGTGTGTGTGTGTGTGTGTGTGTGTGTGTGTGTGTGTGTGTCTGTTTATCCTTTGTGATTTTGTGTAGTATGTTCTGTAAAATGTGTGTATTTTTTTCCTTGGTTATGGCAGGTTTTCACTGGCTTTAATGACCGGACATTTGGGATGGCAGGTGTTTGTGTGTCTGGGGATTTGCTGTTGTTGACAGAAGGACTCAAGGGCAAGCTAACATTTGTTTTCCATCCTGACAGCAGGTAGACAGCCAATCAGGTGTTTATTTTTGCTGTCACTGCTAAGTAGGTGTAATAATGTGGCACACTCTGGGCCCCATGTTGTCCTCTTTTTATTCATCTTTTTCTCTTTTCCATCCATGATGTGTCTCAGTTTTCCATCAACCTATTCCTCAATGTAGTCAAATGGATACCTCTTTTTTTTGCCTATTTATGTGTGTGTTGCCCTCCCTCACTCATATATTCTAAGCATCCTCCTTTCTGTCATCTCACACTCACTTTTCTTTCTCTGTCTCAGTTTAGGTTTTAAATGGATTCCAATATATTAACAGTTTGCATGGCCCTAATAATAAATATATAGTTAGTGTTAAAACTCAAGGCCTGATGCATTCTCTTGTCTAAATACAACATTCACCTCTCTTTACTCAATCTTGGAAGTTTGTCTTTGTCCAAAAAATGCCGTCTGCAGTATCATAGGCTGTGCAGGATAGAGTTAAACAGAGCTCTACTGTTTGTTATACCAACAAGATTTACTGTATGTAACAACCATTGCCTGTTGGGTTAATTATTCACTGTTAGAATAAGATGGCTGACGTTCACTTTTAACAAAAATAAAAAACAGGCTTTTTTAATGTGAGATAAGACCCCACAGAGTGAAGTGGAGGGGTCTTGTCTCTCTGTAAAGAGATTTTATTTTGCAGACCGACTGTCTTACTATCTTTTGTCGCTCTGGTCTGGTACATCTTATAACCTGTATCCCAACCAAAGACACATACATATTGAGTAAGTATTGAGCGATCAAATGGTTTTATTGATTTAAAAAAAGTTTTATTTGTCTATGCAGCTAAAAAAAAAAAGTCATCCTTTAGAAACAACAGTTGTTGCACTTCCATAGAGCCTTGTGGGTCAATTAGCATAAAACTGAACATTTAATTACAGTAGGGACAAATCAATACCATGTTTCCAGGTAACTTCCTGTTACAGATGACAGATGACTGTGTAAGGTCTTCTTGCTGTAACCAGTCAAGTAACACTGCCAAAGTCCATAAGCTTTGTTGCTTTGTGTCTGTTTTCTTCAATTTGAATGATGTCTTTTCCGGTACGCTCCTTGTGAGTTTCTCTATCACCTGGCTATTTCTTACTGTCTCTTATCCCCTTTTTTTCTGCCAGTGACCAGTCAGCCTTCAAACATGAAACTCAAGTATTAATGTAAATGCTGTAATGTAAAGCACTTTGAGGGTCTCTGATAAAGCACTATATGAAATCTGATGCATTATTATTATATTATTATTATTATTATGCTCTCTAAATAATTTGACGTAAAATTAAAAATATCCCCCATGTTGTTTTAATATTGAAACAAACACTTTAACCAGTTTTAACATGAAAAGGGAAAACCAATAAAAAAACTGGAAAAATATACCAGGCTTCTCCCTACGGGTTGAAAATTGATGTAGCATGTGCTAGTTGTCTGTAAATCAGCTCTTGCTAAAGATAAGTGATGAAGCTAGATAATCATGCTACTCCACTGACAGTAGCCTATGTTAAAAACTCTTCAGTCGGTGTTGGGGACCAATTGCAGTGTCCGTTATTGAGCAACTAGGACTACAGAGCCAAGTTTAAACAGGGTAGCTAGCTGGCGTCATGCTAACACTAGCTAACCGACAGCTGTGTTCTTCTAGCTTAGAAAAGGGGATTGTAACTTTTGTAAAGCAAAACTTTGTATAACAGGGCCATGTAAAACTTAATGATGCAGCTTAGTATGTGTAATACTTCCTCCATCATATTTTAGATTTTTATCTTTAAAATATTTGAAAGAAAACTTGTCAAGCTACTCAATTGAATAGTCCAAGCACAGAACGGCTCATTTGCAGTTTTGCTTTTCTTGCAAACAAACCAACGATTAAAGGATGTCATTTTCATCAACATGTTTTTCGAAATGGCTCATTTAACTTCAATGAGATAGTATTTATAATATCTCATTAAATTTAGCCAATTCACTGCATGAAAATCAGCAGAGCCTCATTACTCCTCCCAGCCAACACACTTCTAATATTATTAGTGACTCCAGAAGTGCAGACAAGTTGTGGCTTTCAGAGAGAAAGTATTGAGAAAGTGTGTGTGTGAGAGCATCAGTCCACACCTCTCTCAGGGTTTGTACTTGTGAGTGACGTTTCTGCTGTGATGGCTACGTCGTGGTGTTCTGGTTTGTGGTGGAGAGTCTGTTTGTCACCTTTGTTTGTAGGGCTCATAGTTTCCTCTCTCAATGTCCTCCACGCTGAGGGTAAAGGGGTGTGAGGAGGGGGAGGCGGAAGGGTTTGCGATTTATAAGGTCTTGAGTTGAATCATCAGAGAGACAGAGGACCTTGGACATTAGAAAGTGGTAAACCAAGACTCTGTGCCTGCTGTGTGAGCCAAACCCGGGGACTGACAACAAAACCAAAGTTTGATTTCGAAGATGAGATTCAGCCTGGTGTCAGTCACTCTTCTCTGCTTTACCTCATGGATGAGCCTGACCAATGCAAGTAAGTGCTGCGAAAAAAATCGATCAGTGTTTTGCAGTTTAAAAAAAGTACTGAATCTTTAACTGTTTATGTCTTTCTTGTTCAGCAATTGGACCGGTGACAGTCTGCTGTGAACAATGGTCTACCACCAGAATCCCGGTGGAGCGAGTCAAAAATTACACCATTCAGTCTGGCGGAGGCTGCACAATCAAAGCCATCATGTAAGTAGTTATAAAATTTCACATTGTTAATTGTAAAAAGCCATTTATTAACATTATAACCAACTATGTAATGTAACACCTTCAAATACAACCACTCCCTGATTTTATAAAGCTTATGCATTTCAAGTTTGTGTTGGTATGGGGGGTGAACCTACTCTATACAATTTTGCTTTATCACCCAAGTTGTAACTGGTGGTGGAGGTTAACTGAAGCGCATCTTATTAAAAGGTGTTCTTTATATTTTTACCACTCTGAGAGGGGTGCCATAGTGCTTTCAAATGCTGTCTGCTGTTTTGAGCATGTATCAACAGCAATTAGACTCTGACGTATAGGAATTGACTTGTGGCTCTGCTTTACCACATGAGAGTATGCTGTCAGCCAACCACAGCTTCTGAGATGCCATCTGAGAGCAACTGATTAGTGAATGTCAAACAACATGGGGTCAAGTTTTTTTTAAAGATTGGGTTAACCTAAATCACAACAAAAAAAAAAAAGAAATGATCCCAACATGATTTCACTTTCTTGCGGTAGGGCAGCCATGCAGATAGCTCCAAATGATGTTTGAGAACTTAATTGGAACAACTTTCAGAGTATTAACAACCCATTCAAGATTTAATTATTAGCTATGTACATGTATCTGATTCTAAATGATGTCCAAAATCTTTTTCAGGTTTCTGACAAAGAAGGGAAAGACACTTTGCTCGGACCCTGATGACGGCTGGACTAAAAAAGCCATGCGTAAAGTGGATGAGGAGACAAAAGTTCTGCTGCAGCAGCCGGGACAAAGTGAGGGAAGCGGATCAGCAGGTGTCATCACACCAGCACTGGCCCCAACTTCAAAAAAGGCCTCACAGAAAAAAGGCAGGAGGAGAACCAGAGCACGGGGGAGAAAGTCCGGGGGACGAGGGAAGAACCGCAGAACACATGTTTGAGGAATCAGAAGAAAAATCTATGTTTCCACAGGTTGCTTATAATCCTCTCTGCATTCGGACTTTTTCTTATATAATGCATCAGCAGTAAAGACACTTTAGTTAATACAAACATCAGACTTTATACATTTTAATATACATGATTAAACATAATATAAACGCATATATGTTAACCTCAGTGAATTATCCTAAATGTGTGTATGCCAATCTGTTTCAGTCATCTGTAAATAAAGTGCTTTTGCACAAACTTGTTTTATCATGCAATATGAAATTCACAAGTGCAATGCTATGCTATAGTGTGAGATACTGTAAAAAAAAAAAAAGAATAAATAAAAAAACCTTTGGCAGGTACATCATGACACAATCTGTTTTAAAACTCAGATATTACATGAACCGGCGAAAACCAACATAGAGGACCAGTCGAAGTAATAAATACAGGCAAAGATGAGCATCATAGATACAGTGCAGGTGCTTTAAATAGGTAAAAACATGCAAATGAAGAAGAACACCTGAGAAAACGAACATCATCTTTGTAGAGAAACAAATATTGTACATTAAGTGGCCTGGTGGCATGGACAAGGAAACAATTTACAGACATGGTTATCTTTGTATGTGACTGAATGTTCATTCAACTACAATACCTATTGTATTCAATTACACTCTAAAAGATAACAAAGGTAATTCTGGTTTCTTTTAAGGAGCAGGTTATCGTCATTGTTCCTTTAAATCTTGTATGTGGAGAGAAGACTCAGACTGACTCCTGAGAAATATTATATTTTAGTGTATATTTAGTATTATTGAAACTGAGAATCTCCTTTTTATGCTCCATATTACAATAGCTCTTCATTTTAAAGCATATTTTGCTTTGCAGAACACCATGCAAACTGTAATAAATGCTGAAGGTGAATGTAGGATCGATGGTACAAGTTAAACATCACTCTTATGGTCAGTCACGTGTTTATTACAACCTTAAAAATGTTAGGATAGAAGATGTTCTAACAAAGTCACGTAACCTTTTCAGTGTGTTTCAGGATCATGTTATTGTTTTCATGGGTTCAGCTTGAAATTTGATGCAAGAATCTTTGAATATGAAAGCAAACAACCACATTTTTTTCTTTCATTAGGAAAAAAACTGTATACATCACATATCAGAAAAATCATAACACAATTTTCTCATATAAGTGCAGTTAATTTGATATTTGTGATACTATTGCCTCTCTGTTTGGTTTCTATGAAACTGTGAGGCGCTGTAAAACCATAACAACCACTTCCTGCATGCCGAGCCTGCATGCTGTGCTCTGCTTGTGGTCTTCTCATTCACAGGAAGAGTATTAGAGGGTACTGTTACCTTTTTTCGAAGAAACTTAAATTTATCATCGCAAATATTTACAAAGTATATATTCTAACAGAAACTTCAACCACATACTACACTTTCAAACTGTGGGTTAAAGCATGATTGTAAATATAGATCATAAGAACATCCAGTGCTGCATTCATGACCTATTTTGTTAAAGAAACAACAAAATCAATCTTTGTAAGACGGATGAGACTGATGAGGTTTGGAGTGATGATACTGTTTTCATTTACCTTTCCACTCAGGAGCTCTCTTAGCTCATCTTTCAGCTAGCTGTTTTGGTTTCATTGTTTTGGTTGCTTTTAAATACTGAAAACCCCCTTTAAACGGTGGCAAAGAAGTTCTAATGAAAACACAAACACTTTATGCAAACTGCAGAGCACCCAGAATAGACACACAATCATTAAACTGAAGCATTTAATGGCAAAAGTACCTGATATTTCCCTTCAAACACCCAACAGTAGTACTTGTGTTTATTAGGATAAGTGTGACTCCTCATTTACACGGCTCTGTATCTTTTGAATGTTTATGGTTAGCATGTGAAGTCAATGACATGCCCAAATGACGTTTGCAGAGTTATACTTGCCAGGGAAAATATAAAGTAGCTCTTTTGAATAAGCACGCATCTCAGAGTTCTCATACCTTATGTTTGAGTTAGATAAGTCACCAAACCAACAGAAAAATCATTCAAGGAAAGACAGTACACTGTGTTTAGGAGGCACTGTGACACATCATGAGAGCAGACTGACATACAAACAAAGGCCAGAACTTTCCAACCAAGCATGATTTTAAAACTTAAATCTATCTACTGTATTTCATGTTGGGGAGCTTAGTTTGCCTTGAACACACAAACACACAAAGTTTAACATTTTTATCTGTCTTCTTGATCTGACAGATCTAAAGAAAAAAAAAAAACACTTCCTGTGACCTGATGATGTGTGTACACGATGTGTGATTTGTGTGTGTGTGTGTGTGTGTGTGTGTGTGTGTGTGTGTGTGTGTGTGTGTGTGTGTGTGTGTGTGTGTGTGTGTGTGGTTAACCCTTCTGGAGGAAATTGCAGTCCCACCTGCTCTTCTTAGCATCACAAAACTCCTGACTGAACCTCACTCGATGGTGGATTGGAAGATATTCATTGTCTTTTACTCCCACTTGAACACACTCAGAAAGTTCATTTGAATATTCCCACAAGCCCTAGGTGTGAAATGTAACAGCTGTTGTGGCTGCAGTCGTGTAAACTTGAGGATGGAAACATCAGAATACAAAATGGAGCCATAGAAGACTAACAATACTTGGCTAAAAAAGCCAGAGGAGAGGCTAAAGTTTATATAATTCAAAGTGTTACCTAAAGATGAAGCCTGGCCATTAATTATATAAAAAAAGTAAGTCCCAATAAAACATGTTCACTTCTTTATCAAGACATGAGCAAATGGCAAAAGTCATGTTGGCAAGTTAGAGGTGATGTAAGCTAGGAAATAAACCCATTTACTGCAAGTAAACTAAAACAATGCAATGATGATGCACACAAACTTTGGCAACGGAAGTGTGGCAGCAAGAGGGGATCCACCACCAAAGATCACAATTACTACCACAAACTCAGGCAAATTTAAAAAGATGTTTGATGGCTCGTACTATGGCTGGGACCCTGTTTGTACTGTTGATGAAGTTAGATGCTGTTCTGAGCATTATTTGTGGCTATAGAGTGGCTCTTGGTTGAGGTTTGCACGTGGGGACGTAGACCACTGTGTTTTGCTATCGTGCGGTCATTACTAAAGTTGCTTTAACTAGAGAAGCAAGCGGACGGCAACATTCATCTCTGGGGGGGGGTCTAACTCGAGTGTTATGGTGTGTTTGACCATATCTTAAATTTACACTGGAATATCCCTTATATCTGTGCTTCCGGCAAAGCGGAACAGCAGCTAAAACTACGTGTTTTAGGCAGAGGCTGAAATAATGTTAATTTGATACACCAGAGTGAGAAACACAAGGCTGTTTAAGCTATTAAAGTGGTATCAAAAAAGTAATATCGAGTCTGAAAAAAGCATAATACCCCCTCCTTAAAGCTTTGCTGACTTGTTGGGATGAATGGAGGAAAACACAATTTCTGTTCCCAAAATGTTCACACATAATTTTGATCAAGGAGGCTGTGGACGGATCTATAATTTAAAGAAGACTTAAAGAAGTCTGCTATGTGAACAAGGTTGTATCTTACTTGAAGTTTACTCATACATAAATGCAGTCTTTAGATGTACGTTACTCATACAACTTTAACAGCTTAGCCACACAAGTGGTAACAATGGTGGGCTTCCAGCTTTGGCGAGGGGTGGGGGAAAACCATTGCACTGTGGTGTGAGCGAGCATTCACTAACCTCAAACTCTCTTCTACATATGTGCAAACCCTCCTATCATACTGAGGCTCAGCCGTACTTTCTCTGTCTGCCCACGCATAGTAAGCGACAGTTTTTTTTCAGACCTTTTTCTTCTAAAACCACACCTCATTATTCTAGCACCACTGGTTGATGGAAACACTGAACTGGAAGCCCCCAAAACTTCCACCATGGTCAGCTTGGAGCCCACCATGTTTCACCATTTCTGTGAGCAGAGGTGGAACATGGTGACAGCCAGAATAATGAATAATCAAATGGAGAATGACTCACTCATAAAAGTAATACTCAGATTAAACTGATCAAAGGACGGTTGGTTTGACCTTTTATTAGTATGTGGGTTTGATCTATGCTGTTTAAAGTTTGTAGTTGCTTGAAGATCAGCTCTGTGACCTCTCAGAATCCTGGATATGTTTAACATACTGGGGGACAATGAATCATGAATTAACTGCATTTATAGACTTACACCCAGAACAAAGGAAGTTCAGTCAAATAATGCCTAAATAGCAATATGCATCTATGTCAACACAACCAGAGCTTTGAAATAATGTTTCTCTTTGTCTATTGAATTTACTGTATATGTAGTAAATCTATACTGCTTTTTTAACCAAGTATTGTACTCACTGACTGGAAGAATAATTCCTGCTGGGAGTCTGACTCCCTCCCCGTCCACATGGACCACTTAACCCTTAGATGCATGGCCTACCAGTACCCACACGTTTCCATGAGTGGGGTCAAAAATGACCCCAACTAGAATCCATGCGTTTTAAGCTGTGTATTGCTTGACATGTCTTTTGTTTTGGATAAAGATGATGATTTTTATCATATTTTGTTCAACAAAAGAATTATTTAATGTCTGACTTGTTCACTTTTCACATATTATCATTTTATCACAAAACGGCATTGAGAAAGGTTAAAAAAAAGTCAACCTCCAATTTTCGACATCTATTGCTAGCTTTAACGTCTGGTTTCTCACACCTCTTCTTCCTCTTCTGTTGGCCCTGTCTGTTTTAGTTCTGTGGCTGGATTGCAGCTTTAGTCATCCCACACCTTTCCTTGCAAAAGGTTAAAAAAAGTCAACCTCCAATTATGATTCCAGCACAAGAATGATTATATATTTTACATGTTAGTTTCTTTTTATCTTTCAATTGAACACAAACTTGCTATCAATACAGCTATCAAAACTTTAGCTTTCAGTGTTTCTGTGCCCCCTTGTCGCATGTCCACACACATACAAAAACACACACTGTCTTCTCTCTCTTCACTGTTACAAGCTGCTGTTGCAAAATAGCCAACCCTCCTCTGATGTAAGGACTGCACATAGGGTCACCGCATTTTCAACATCTAATGCTAGCTTTACAGTCTTGGTTTCTCACACCTCTTCTTCCTCTTCTGTTGGCCCTGTCTGTTTTAGTTCTGTAGCTGGATTGCAGCTTTAGTCATCCCACACCTTTCCATTACTGTAGTGATGTAGGTTGGTAGAAGTGGATCACTTCTGTTTTTTTTTTTCTCTCAGGTGTTTTCATCCACCATTTTGCTGGTGGTGCATTGTGCCGAGGAGCAGAACAGCCTTTTCCTTTATTCAAACATAGCTGATCATGGTCATGCTGCCATTGAACCCAAATTCAAAGTAGTAATTTGGAGATAATATCAAAACACTATCACACAAAATCCATGGATGTGGAAAATAAGTCCATATTTTATAGCAGCACATATATTATGAGGTATAAATGATGATAATACTTAAATGTATGTTGCTGTGCTACCGTTAAAATAACCCTCAGGGTGGCAAGACTCCTCAGATTAGATGTGTGGATCAACAGTAAATGTATACCTGACAGTCACAGTTGATAAAAATCCAAGCTTTCTTGGGTTAACCCTGAAATTTCATAGTAAGTGATTGGGGTCATTTTTGCCCCCACGTTTGGAAAAGTGGGGTACTGATACAAAAAACGCAGTAACTTAAAAACAATAACAATAGGATACAAATCTAAGTGGCCTCATTTCAAAGAGAACCTATTTGAGGAATACATGGAAAATTAAATTATAGAAATCAAAAATTACAATCATATTGGAAAAAAACTGGCACTGGGGTCATTTTTGACCCCACTTATGCATCTAGGATAATGTGGTCCCCCGCCCTACATTGACTATTCATTTAAAACAGTCCAAGTATAACATAAAGGTTTACTCTCCTATTGCCATAAACCAATCCATATTTTTCTAAATATAAAAAAAACATCACTTTGTACAACAGCCTTTTTTTAAACTGTATTTTTAAGTTTTACCTTATGAATTGAACAAATAGCACAAACAGGTCACCGGGGGAAACACAATATATTATACATGTTAAGTCACTTTTCTGTCACATGATACTATCCATATAGCTCTGAGAAAGAAAGGTGGAAAAAACAAGGAACAAAACCTTTGCCTGATATCAGGTTAGGGATGTGGCAAGTCTGTATCACTCCCAGTCCATCTCATCTCCAAAGAGGGTTTAATAATATTGAAACACACAGCATTTACAAATCACTTATACATGCTGGCATAATGAATACTGGATAGGTAGGTCGCAAGTTGGAGACTTAAAATAGTAACAACAACAATAACAGTAATGATAGCCATGATATCCATTCACCTTTTGTTTGTGGTTCCTTAAACTCGTCACGTCTTAGTTATTGCGTTTTTATGAGCTGCAAGTGATATTTTAGAAGGCGTTTGTCTTTTGCACTGTATTAAGTCGGTATATTCCCATCATAGATTCAAAATGATCACCAAAACCCAGAACTAGCTTTTTACTCACAACTGTTTTTACTCAAAACAAACGCCCTTGCGTCAGTATATATGCACTTTCATTGGCTTTTTCTATTTTAAAGTCATGAAACAAACATTTTTAACTTTATTATGATCACTCTGTTCTACTGATAATTGCTATGATTTATTTCTGCCACAGACAGATGTGTCCACTATCCACCAATTTGGTCGTTTTGTCACACTGTTATTAGCATGGCTTAGCTAGCAACTGTATATATTATGATTAATGAATACTGTGTGTTTTTTAATGTTTTTGCATTGCATTTAGGATCTTCCTCTTTTTAATCCCCTCTCTCTCCGTTCTACCTTTCCTTTTCTTCTTTCCATTTCACATGGCAGTAATGCTGTATAATTTACACAGAGGAGTGAGCGGACAGTTATTGTGTGTGTCACGAGATATGACATGGACTCAAATTTTGCAGCTGGTGGCTACATATCAACAAGCTGTGCACAATAAACCAACCGTGAGAGTTGCACTCACAAACAGGAATCAGAGAGGCACGCCCTATACCCTTTTAGTGCTGGTAAATAGTATGGTGTTTGAAAGTGGGCTAAGCTGGAGGCAAAAAAAAATCTTAAGACATGTTAGTCATCAGCAGCTAGCAAGTTGTTTTTGGCTTGTTTTGGATATTAGCAGAAGGTAATGTGGGTTTCTCAGGTCACGGACTGTCCCGGACCGAGAGTGTTGCTGAAATAACTTAACAGAGCTGACAGGCCAAATGATATACTCACTGGATGGATACTTACATTAATTTGATAGAAAAATACCATGTGTATGGTAAAGACAAAGTCAGGGCATGCCAGCCTTGAGATGCATTTTTATTTGTGGTTGATTAATACATGATAAGACAACATATGAAGACGCCTTTTACCGTGTGGTGGTGATTCCTGTTTGCCTTCAGTTTTAACTCCTCTTGCCTCCAGCCTTTCCCCTGACATCATGACTTTTGCCCAAAAGTGAGTACTCATTCGCTCATTTTTTCTATTTACACTGACTGCTCACAGCAGGCCAAATTGGCCCCCAGACCATCGGGAAATGTCCCAGTATCCTTTACATACAGCTATGACCTGCACCTGCTTACAAAGAATTGTTCCATTTCCTCTCTATTTTATTGTATTTTTTTTGACAGCAAGAGTTTGGCACACTCATAAACAGAAGGAAAAGAGAACAAACGCAAAACAATGGAAACAATGGTCAGTCATTTTTGTCCCTTGCTGACACATAATAAAGGCAAGTACGATGTTGTCAGAGGTGAGCAAAAACAAAAATGTTTCCATCTCACAGCACCAACTTCATTATTACTCTTTCGCACCACTAGTTGGTTTGTTTATGCTCCCAACTTTAACACAAGGTGAGCTTAACTCTTGAAGGCAAACAGAGAACTCAAATGTACCAGACTGGGAAGGGGGAAGGGAGGTCATGAGGCATTTTGGGGTCACCAGGTCCTGAACTGTCAGATAGGGCTAAAATTGTAGTTAAGTAGAGTAGTCTAACCTCAGCGTAACAGCAGTAAATATTTTTTCAACTGTATGGCTGATAAATTGCAAACTTTGACTGAAGTTCTCTTTTTAAAGCAAAAACTGTTTTATTTCACTGCTTGGTCTAACCAATTATGGCTCTGAATGCATCCTTCACCAACTGCTTTGTCGTCACTGTGTTAGCATATGAAATTCTGTGGATGCACTCTGACTCTTGAATCCCCCTAAACTTTCACACTCCTGAGAGAGAGGTACTCACAGACAAAAATATATAACCATGTGAAGTCTCTGTTTGTTGTCTGTAGTGGATATTAAAGATATGAAGTGGTATAAAGAGATCTAAAAGCAGAGGCCTTAAACTGAATACTAGGATTCAGTCATAGCTTTTCTCTATACACAATCTAGGGTATAATATAATCTACTGGTAATCTGAAACTGATCATGAAAGAGGACGAAGCTCATACATGTGGCCATTTTTATTTTTCACATCACTTGGGGTCATAGTACAATAAAGAAGAAACATCATTTTCAAATGTTTACATATAAAGAAACATCATTAGATATATAATGATTAGTAAAAATCCTTCTTAGAAGTATAACTTAACTAGCTTAAGGTAAGAAATTTGTTAAAAACATGGAAACATTCAGACTCTGTGGACATTATAAAACAGTAGACAATCTTTTCGTCAAAGGAGACCTTTTAGTCTTAATTTAATAGTGCAGTCCTTTTTTTAGTACTGGCTGGAGGCTGGATATTGTGTCAGTGATGGTATCACTTCATGACCAATTGTTGGAGTTGCCAGTTCTTTCCATCCAGATAGGCCATGCTGGTCTTTGTCCACACTCGGCTGGGGCTGGAGCAGATTCTTTTACCATAAACTGTAGTAAATCTGTTAAAAATAAGAACATGAAAACATTCAGGAACATGTTACAACATTTAAAGATGGATTTTAAAAAAGTGTTTAGGTTAATTCTGAAAGGTATACTTACACCACTGCATGAAGAGGGCATGAGGACTTATACTGTATATAGTAACTTTTCAGCCGATCTCGGTGGACTTGAGTGGATGTGAGTATTCTGCAGCAACTGCCTATCCCACCTTTGAATTAACAAGTAAGAGTCTCTTGTTAACATCAACATATTTTCACAATTCCAAAATTATACATGTATTTTTGAAGTACAACAAACATAGAGAAAAGGTAGACAAATAGTAATCTAATACTGCTCTTACCTTGACCTGAGGTTGTGGACACCATCAGAGTTACAACAAATAGAGACACAATCAAACTGAGACTTGTCATTGTGAGTCTTTGATTAAGCAGATATGAGTGGTCGTTAGCACTGCAACCTCTTTTAAACACACTGACACAGCCAGCACATTCATTTATACACCTTACAAGCTGAGCATGATGCACCCACAGATATGCAATAGTGGAAAGTAACATACAAAATGTTTCCTCCCAGTGAGGTCCTCGCCCCTCTACTCACAGTTCCGGTGGTCTAAGACGGCTAATACTTTTTCCGCTGCAGGAAGATGTGGTTTCTGCATTGTGGGCCTCCTTCACTTTTACAATCTTAACTGTCGCATTATAATAATTCCACAATGAATGGACTTATTTTATGGCTGTTAGAGTTTTAAATGGATATATAAAGCGATGTTAACACACACTGTATGAAACTGTCACTGTAAACTCACGTCTTACATTTCTTTGTTTTGAACACAGACGCTTTCTACTGTAAGGTTTTTGAGGTTTCTTTCTGCAAACAATGTGAGCATACCTCTCTCTGAGACCACAGAGTGCATGCAGAAGTAGAATCAAAAATACCAGTTTCCTAGTATCATGACATTTGAAGTCATGTGTAAGTCTAACTAAAGAACAAAGACAAAACTCGGGAGGTTTTTTTGTTCCATTCAGACACACCGGGTTGGTTGCCACAGGTTTTTTCACACATGAGAGGAAAAATCATGGGAGCAGAGTAGAGACGTTTCCTTTGTTTGATTGTTGTGAGGTGATGTGTCTTCGGCCTTTACTTTATAATTTTGTAATATGATAAAAGATATTGTCAAAAATACATTTAAATAAAGACTCACTGCTTAACAACAACAAAAGAGAGTCTGAATATGAACAGCCTTTACACCCCTAATGTCTGACTCACCGTTGCACTCTTTCCAGTCATCCAGCAGTAGCTCAGGAGGTAGAGCAGTCGTCCAGTAACTGTAAGGTTGGCGATCGATTCCCCCCTATCCCAAGTCTGTCTGTTGTGTCCTTGGGCAAGACACTTAACCCACCTTGCTCCCAGTGTGTGTCCTCCACTGGTGTTTGATTGTGAGTGATGTGTGGTAGGCGCCATGGCAGCCACGTTTCCGTCTGCCCCAGGGCAGCTGTGACTACTAAGGTACTTTACCACCACCAATGTGTGACTGTGTGAGTGGATGAATGATGTATCCAATGTAAAGCGCTTTGAGGGTCTCTGATAAAGCGCTATATGAAATCTGATGCATTATTATTATAATCTGCTTCATTGTCCAACAAGCTGGCAGATCACTCATGAGAGCAGATGCAGAATCTCTCTTCAGGTGTCTACCTCCCAACTCACCTGTGGATGAGCTAATAGCTGCTGTGTGCACTAGCACCTGTAGTCTATGCTCCACTGTCGTCCCAATCCAGTGTCTTAGAAGTGAAACCAAAGTTTTAAAGCGAAAAGTGTTGCTTCTGCTTTGAAATAAGTTCTATTATTGAGTCCTCTGCGGACAAGAGAGGTAACATGCTAGCGTCTCAAACTACTGGAGGAAGGAGCCTGTCCTGTCCTTGCCTTTGGGAGGAGATTTGTGTAGTCAGAGAAAAATGAGAAAAAAGCACAACGCACTCCTTCTTTTGGAACAACTAAAAAGCTTTTGTTTTTATGGTATGATCATAAAAATACTTTTACGCTGTAAAAGTCCATGTTGTAGCTAAAATGCTTGACAATAAAGTAATAAACTGAAGCATAATAATTTAACTTAGATTAAATAATAATGAGATTATGATATGCAAGGATCAAGTTGATAAGACAGTGGCTGTTAAAGTCCTGCCAGTATCAGATACCAGGATCATGACCCAAAGGTTTTACATCATATTCAGCTCTTTTGATTTAATGATGGTCATTTAAGCCGAGACTTTGTGAGATGATTTACGTGATCCCCTTTCATAATGTGGTTAGATAACCAAAAGTGAAAAGTTTGTGCATCAGCTTTAACTTACATAGAATATGTGTGATATTTCTCTAGCACCTTCAAACCTCAGCTAACACGATTACAAGAAACAACAATGTGAGAAGGGCCATTTACTGACACATTTATCATTTAGCTTGAAGGTGTGGAGTGTGTCATCAGAAAACATTATCTGTTACAGAAGCATATAGAGGAAGCATATCTGAGGGGGTAATCACTCTAAAATCCAACACTTCTCAGCAGTACATCAGGAATAAAAGTTACTTCTGCCAGATATTTAGGTTTAACCATTGGTAGTGAGCATTTGGATTGTCTTCTCATACTGACATATAGATTTATCATTGCAAATGCATTTCTAACAGTGAAAAAAAAAATCTACATTTGTCAAGAAAGTTTAGGGAAATACTTTATTAACATTTTTTTAAGTACTTGTTTATATTATCATCTAAACCTGTACTTCACTAAGATTGACTTAAACCTATCATAAAGGATGAGAAAAACCTCATTTCATGTCACATCATTTAGCATATTTGAAACCCTCTTATTTTCCCTGCAAGCTCAAAAAAATCTCTGAAAACACAAAATCTGCTTTTTCATCGAAATTCTGTTTTCAAGGAAGTGCCAAAGAATTTGACATTGAAGCCCAGCAACAAGAACCCTGTGTGTGTGTGTGTGTGTGTGTGTGTGTGTGTGTGTGTGTGTGTGTGTGTGTGTGTGTGTGTGTGTGTGTGTGTGCAGCATATTTTGTAGGTAGACTTAACTATTTTATCATCATTATCCATGAAGGCGGCTGAAAAATAATCCCTGATATGTCAATATTTACTCTAGGGCTCATACTGGTTGTATGTAAAAGCTTAATTATTATACCAGTAATGCCATCATATGCACCCATATCTTTTTATTGTCATAGCTGAGTCCAGTGTATGAGTAAACAGTGTGCCAGATACTTGTAGATATTAAATCATAATATACGTAAAACCTCGGGGGGAAAAAACAATACAATCTATAAAAAGCCATTAAGAGTGAACTAATTCACTTTATGACCTGTATCATGTCTTTTCATTTCTTTTTTGTGAAGTGTCAAGAACAGCACTGATCCCATCCTGGGTTAGAGAATCCAGAGACATCTGTACCATTAGGAGGAGTCAAACACTTGACATGTTACACAAACAGAAATGGAAGATCAAGCATATGTGAAAACTCAAAATCCCCACCGTCTATTAAAATCAGTTTGTTGTGATCTATGTTTAAATCTAATTTCCACATTGATTCAATACTAAGAGGACTGGTTGTTAAGCAGGATCAGGTAGATGGAGGAGAAGGCTTCTTTCACCTCAGTCATGATGCCTCAGGTGTATTCAGGGACAGCACACACTTATGTTTGGAATGCTATTTCTTCTTCACTTTCTCTTTTAAACAGGCAGGCCCAGCAGAGCAAAGACAAACACAACATCTGCTTCGTCTGCCACATAATATTCCTGCTACCTCTGCTGTGTCTAGTGTATCTACTACAACAATTTCCTGCCTTCAGAAAGCACTCCCTAAACTCTCAGGTTAACTTGTGAGTAACTTGAATGTTTTTGAGTGTCTTTCTTAGATATTTATACGCTGTATCTTTTTGTCAGTTTTCATTTTGCTAAACAGAGATACATGATTTAGATATGTTCATGATGTGCAAAACTTCAATACACAAGACTGTTTTCTGTCATTTGTCTTCTCCAAACATTTTGGTTTCTGTTTTTTTATTAATTTCTAAGCCCAGAGTTCTCATCATAGGGCAGTCAAGACCCCAAGTGTAGCAGTCAGAGGTTTTTACAGATCGATTGTGCCATCTAGTGGTGATTTGAAGTCACTTCCTGCCGTGAGAGGAGTATGTCATTGAGGGAGTCACCTTGGCTGACTGGAGCAGCAAACCCCCTAGGGTGCTGATCAGAAATAGCACAAGAGACAGCCTCCTTGTCACTCACACTGTGCATTTGCATGAGCTTGGGGGAGCGGGACAGCTCATCGAGAAGTTTTCAGACACCTTCTAGCAGATGTGCTGCCAGCATCTTTTCCCAAGTACTGCATGCAAACATGTCACGCCACCAAAACACACAGCATGCCCAGCAGCAGTCTGCTCATTTAGCACAATTTCTGAGTTCTCTGTCATCCTTTTTTTGGCTAATAAACATTTAAAACCTCTGGATGGGCCTGTCCCACACTGAGTAATGTTATAAAATATTATTTAAAATGCTGTGAGATTTGTTTAGAGTGCTGATTACTGTTAACAGTGACTTTGAAAAGAAAAAGAAACTTACACTCCAGACTTCTGTTCAAGATTAATATTTATTTGATTAGTCTTGTCAATGGTACAATCATTTGATTAAGCAGCAAAATAAAAACATGAATGTTATATAGGCATGATTAACAACAAGTAGAATTGTATACATAAATACTTGTTGGGTGTAAGCACGTTGCCAATCAGTGGCCTCAAATAAAAACAAGCAAATAAAATAGGAGGCAAGACTTGACTTTTTTGCAGATAACATCACCAATGTGTCAGCAGGTCTTTTCGTTTCTCGTTTTTTGTTACCAATCGTATCCGTCAGTGGTGAATGTGATGGTTTCTGTGGTGCTGGTGAAAGATCCACTTCCATCGCCAGAGACTTGTTTTGATGACTTCTTCAGTCGCGCACTGAAAAAAATGATCATAACTTTTACTATCAATGAAAACCTAATTTACAAGTCAAGTGGGCTATCATTACAGTCAGTCTATTAGCAAACAAACAAACAAACAAACAAGCAAGTAAATAAATATCCAATAAATTAGTTTTAATTAAATTGTGAGCATCATACCTGAGCTGTTCCCGAATCCTTTCCACCCACTTGTCCCCCGGCTTTGCACAAACCACTTTATTCTGCTTTGTGTAGAAACTACAGAAATGTCAAAGACACAAAGAGCATTGTAGTTAATTGTATTATTGGCATCTATCAGTACAGTCATTTAAAAGCTGCATTTTGATGACTCATGGGAGGAATGTAAACCTAATTTTATTTCATGTGTCTAATTCTTTTTACAAATCAAGTGAAGTTTGACCAAATGATTTGTATTAGGATTGAAAACAGGTCAAGAAGCAGTTCTTATTGAAACTTCGCACTGATATAATTTTGCTTCAGAACTTTTGTGGTTTGATACCCAGATTTATTTAGCTATTTAATTTCCTCAGTCTTAAACACCAGACAGTTTGCGCGCTCAATTTATAGAGATTAAGCACAGACAACACAGAGTTATGAAATTCAAAGTTTATAGCAAACAGTTGTCACCAGCTCAATCAAATGGCTTATGTCTAAGAATTCTGCAGATACAGCGTCACATCTACTTTCTATAACTCAGTCAGCAGTGTCTTTTGTATATTTTGGAATCAATCCAATCAACCTTTACAGGGAAATTTGACATCCTTGGACTGTAATCTTTGTATACTAAAGTTGGTTATTCTGACAGGGGCTGCCAGGATTTAGTTGAAAAGAGTCTTACATGACGGCTTTCATGCGGCACTTTTCTGTGCCATCTATTATCCCGTAGCCTCGAATCACTTCAAGCGGTATCGGTTTCTTGACGAACGATGTACAGCAGCTTGAGACTGGGACTCCTTGCAAACACAAACACAAATCAAATTATTAACTTATTTAACCTTTACCGATGTGATATGATGATACAATGTTTTTAAAGATATGATATTAATGAAGATATAAAGAAATAAACTTACTCCTAGGTGATGCCAGACTGACAAGACCCAGTGTGATGCAAAGGATAGCCGTTGTCATGGTGATCAGACTTGTTCGAGCCATGTCGACGGTGCAAAGGACCCGCTGATACTTAGTGAATACTTAACATCACGCGTATTTATACTTTTACTGGGAGTCATGTTTTTTTTACAACCTGTGGCTCCTAAATTGAGGACAGGAAGCCCACTGTTGCATCATGGCAGGCAAATGTGCAGACATTTCACTTTGATCGTAAATTAAACCCTCACTGTGCCATTTTACAGTACCTGGATTTTTCTGTGTGGGCCTGAGAGAGTTTCAGTGTGAAGTGGTGCATTAAGTTCTCAGAGTCTCCTTGGGCTGTCATCTATATTTATGCTTTCTGGGTTAATAATCATGCTGTGATTCTTCATATACTTCATATACAGCACAGTCAACTCTAATCATCACTTTCTTCGCTTCATTTAGATTTCCTCCTCGCTCTTGTATATTACTGCATCTTTAGCTCTGAGTGCGCATGCATGCATAATTACACTTATATGAAATTTGTTGCACAAGTTATTGCCCTTTCTCGCTTCATATACTTTCAAGTGCTGACAAAAAGGACTCTAATATCCATTGTCATAATTTGATGTTGTTGCTTTAAGCAAGAGTCAGGGTGTTTCACATAATCAGCAATCTGTGGGTTGTTTTGCGGTGAAGAGTGATGGAGTATGAGCGGCGTGTCAAAACCCCCTCCTCGTTAGCATGACCTATTTAGTGTGCATAAAGCTGACAACTCCAAATCTAGCTCAGCTGGCCTAGATAGACACAACATCTTCAAGTAGTAAATGCGTTGTATCATGTTGTACATGTCAAAAAAACATCATGTACAAGCCAAATATTATTAGTTGGAAACTTACACTAAATACTGTGTAAGGAATGAATGAATGTGTGGAAGATTTGTGTAGAGTCACCACGGGTTTCCTGTTCCCTCATTTACAACTTGACATTGACTAAACCAAGGGATTTCTTTGTACGCTACTCAGAGTGATACTCGGGAGAAATCAATGTTGGGTTGCCCTCAGAGATCTGGTGTGTGAAGGCCAGCCTCAGATTAAGACCACTGAAGCTGACTTTTTTTTTTTTCATTCAGAGCTCAAGGGCACTTCAGAAACATAGATGCTCACTATAGAGGCATGAAGGCTGTGCTGCAGGAGTGAGCCCCAGAAGTCTTAATAAAATACTGGGAGCTGTGAATGATTTGTTAGCGTCTAAATGCCAGGAATTTCCAAGGTTTTTTGACCTCACAAGTGGAGTATTTTAGCTTCAATGTAACTTAAGAGAGGAGAAATGCATGTAGGTAGGTAGGTAGGTAGGTAGGTAGGTTAGAAGAAAAAAGTAGGTAGGTAGGTAGGTAGGAAGGAAGGAAAAAAAGAAGGTAGGTAGGTAGGTAGGTAGGTAGGTTAGAAGAAAAAAGTAGGTAGGTAGGTAGGTAGAATAGAAGAAAAAAGTAGGTAGGTAGGTAGGTTCGAAGAAAAAAGTAGGTAGGTAGGTTAGAGGAAAAAAGTAGGTAGGTGAGAAAAGAGGAAGGTAGGTAGGTAGCTAGCTAGCTAGGTAGGTAGGTTGGTTGGTTGGTTGGTAGCTAGGTAGGTTGGTAGGTAGGTTGTATGGTAGGTAGGTGGCTGCTGCCAGGAGGCTTCGACCTGCCTTAGCTTTACCTCTTTGTGTATTTTCACTGTAAGTTAACAAATTTGATGGAATTGATATTTTATAGGCTTCGTTCAGGAACCAACTGGTACACTACTGAGACTGTCTCTTATACAGCCAATGAGCTGGAGCTACCAGGGACCACAGTCAGCATCGTGTCAAACAATGTTTTCCCCTCTTCATTATTCAGTTTAAGTCTGTCGTTGATTGTTTTTACTTGTGCAATTTTGACTTAACCTGATTATACTCATTCTGATCAAAGATTCAAACCTCACTGTTTTCACAGACGATAAATAACGTGATCTGATGAAGTAGTGTGTTTTCAAGTATCAGGCATTTACTCTCAATGACAACATTTGCCGTGCACAGAGTCATTTTGTTGGTCTGCAGTGTTGTAAATAGCAGAAGGGACTGTTCCCGTCTGACACTGAGTTCCTGTGATTAACAACTATCACTGTGAATAATGACTGACGGATAAAGTCAAAGAGTTATTTATGACAAAAGAAAATGCCATCACTCGAGGCCTCAAAATGTGGCTCCTCTACTTCCCTGCTGTGTCTTTGACTTTGTGTCTTTTACTTAGGATTTATTTACTTATTTATAGATTTAATATTTTCTATCATCAAGGAGAACAACAAGCCTGAGTTTCTTCTAATTCCACAGTAAAAAAGTTTGCTTTTCACCCACTATGGTTCTATCTAATCTGAGAGAAACAGAAGCAGAAACTCATCACGTCTGTCCAAAACATCTACAACAGTCTCATCTATATTGATACTAAGCTTATCGGACCTTGATATGTTTTCTGTTTGTCACAGCCCTGTAAACATATCCTTGCCGGTCTGGTGAGACTTAATGAGTTGTGACTGTTACAGGCTCTGTCATTTCGTGATGGTTTTTTGAAGATCATGACTCATTATGTTCTCATTATGACTTGTCCAACTTGTGGCCTCCTTGAAACCTCCTCTGTCCTCCCACTTGGCAAATGCAGCCCACACATCTCAGTTTAGCACATCACACAAAGCAAAGCCACATTTCATGGTGCCCAACAACAGCTTTTAATCTCCTGCTACCTTCACCCATAGGGGGGCAGTGTTGGTTTGAGCCTCTGCAAAGCAAAACAAGTACTAGTCATGCTATGACACAGATTGTGTGTCAATATTTCCTGAAATTTAGAGGCATTTTAAACCACGAGTGCTAATTCATCATCTGTGGCCTAATATCTGCTTATCCTCCTTAAAACACTTACAACTTAAATCACCAGCTACACTTCTCTGGGAAAATACAACTGTACTTCTGATGATTTTTCTTAGTTTGATTTAATAACTGTTTGCATCTCAGTTATACTTGATTTGGAGAAGACATATATTTAATCTTTTAACCTCGAGAAATAAATGTTGGGTTACCTCCGATGTTCAATAACTACTAAAAAAATAACTAAAAAAACATAAAAAAATGTAGTGGCAGGAATAATTGAAAATAATACCCTTTAAAGGCCTTGAATCATGTAGGCCAAAACAGATTGTAAAAAGTTTTTTTTTTTAAATAAACATTGTTGGCAAGCATCCAATTGTAAAAAAAAAAAAAAAGACCAAAAAAAAGTTGGAAAATAAAAGACAAAAAAAAAAAAAAAAAAATCAGAAAAAAGGAGGCTGTGACTTAGATTTAGTATTCTGGTTAACTGTTTTATATTTTCATCACTTTTGGGATGTGACTGAATCACTACCATTTTTACTTCATGTTCTTATGTGTTAGTGCAGCAAATACACATAATACTAATAATGCATCAGATTTCATATAGCGCTGTATCAGAGACCCTCAAAGCGCTTTACATTGGATACATCATTCATTCGCTCACACAGTCACATCCTCAATACATTTATTCTAAATACATCAAAACCTAATGGGATCTGGAGTTATAGGTTATCTTTTATTCTGCTCTTATGAACAAACCATTAAACAGTCACTGTTAATAAAAAAGTGCAGTTTTCACAGCTATCCCTGCAGAAAAAGTAATCAATTAATGTCAAGGATGCTGGTCTCTCAAACATGCACTCTAAGAACACCTTAATGTTTTAATGCTTTCATTCTTAAATTTTAAAATGTTTGCCAGTATGTTTGCTTGAGGGTGGATGCAAGAAAGTCTTGTCCTCCTCTTCTTGGGCCCCCTCTCCTCTCCCTTCTTTGGACTCCTACTGGTGGACGGATGGCAAGAAAAGAGAGCAGGGGTAGGGTGAGGGTAAAGGGAGAGAGGGGGGTCACCATTGAGTTGTCCACCCACACACGGCCCCCTCTGGTCACCTGCGTGGGTTTGGGCCAAAAAGAAAGGCTAGGACACGCACACACGAACACAAAGAACAAAAAAACGACAGCTTTCTAACCCCGAACGTCAAATGTGGCAGAGGGTTTTAGAGAAAAAGGGGTTTAAATTAGTAAGAAACTTCCTGAAAACTACAGAAAGGGTCATTGTCAGCATCCTTTTAAGCAACCAACAATAAAGCAAAGTTTCGGCAGTGAGTGAGGCAGCATAGATTTTCTTAAAAAGCTCTCGAAGCACTTGGCTGTGGCTTGATGTGAAGAAAAAGGGCCTAGTTTATCATAATTAACATTGTTCCAGACTGTCAAACCCGTGAGGCATGGAAAACAATGCTCTTCTCAATGTTTATTGAGTAGTTAATGGTTAAATTACTGGATGTATAATTACGCGAGCCAGGCAGATTCTGTCCTCAGCGTCTCCTCCTACATCCCATCTGCCCTGTGTGTCCAGAGAGTGGGTGACTGAAGTAGCTGCTGGGAGGGGGGATGAGGAATTATTGTGGATAATGATAAGAAAACTTGTGATGTAACAGTCTGAGTTACTCTTCTGCTGTTTAAGCCGACGCTGCAACCACAGGATGAGTAGTAGAAGAAGAAAAGAGGGGGGAATATGAAAGTAAAGGACCTCTGTGACATTAGTAAGAGCCCAGAGGTGTTTCAGTCTGGCAGAGCTTTTTCCTGGAGGATACTGTGAGCCAGAGGAGGTGAAGAGAAGAAAGGGGCAGAGTGTAGAGTTGGTAGAAAGAAGAGTATTTTTAGGGTGGTCTGTTATCTGCGGAGCTGAGGGCATGCAGTATCACAGTTGGGTCACATCGCTGAGGGGGAAACAGCCCAGGCTTTCCACTGAGACAGCAGATAAGGAGGAACAAGAACAAGAACAATGAGATCTCTCTGTCTTCCGAACACACATTGGTACAAAAGAATACACCGATAACCACATCCACAGGAAGACTGTTGCTTCACTCTCACACATCCTCTCACAGTTTCTCAGAAACCTTCAGATGTGTTAAAAGATCACGTCAGAATGGAGCCACTGAGCTCCACAGGTGAAGTTTGAGTGCGAACTCACTCTTTTTACACTCAAAAGACCAACGTTTTATCCAGAATTTCTTCGCTCTAGAGCTCATGTCTGCCTTTTTTTTTGTGCCCTTTCTCATTCTTAGTGTGTCTCTCCTCTATGGTAACCCTTTAAAGATGGTAAATGCCAGCTGAACAGATGGATGCTGAGAACATCTCATCACTCTGACACCATGTTTATGCAATCACACGCAAACACACTCCTTGTGCACACGCTCACACATTAAACGCTCCCAAAGCAAGATGCTGATGGAGATTTCCTCAATCATCAAAGAGAGCACGATGCACACACACACACACACACACACACACACACACACACACACACACACTTTTGGTGTTTTTGATGAAACCTTCTGTTCGCTTCTTCCTTTGTTTATAGTGAACACATGCGTGCAAAAATACACACATCCACACACATGAATTGAGTAATTTTCCAGACAAGCAGCTGTTACGGAGAGATCCGGGTCCTTACAAAAACGCCATGAACATGCTGATTATTCCTAGTTGACCCCAGGAGCTTAATCGCACACGCTCACACCGTGGATTTAAACAATCTGACTATTATCAGTCATACAACCCAGAGAGTATCGGTCTGGTGGCGTGAATATTAAATGGTTTTATCTCCCAGAATAATGTAAGTACACGCCAAATGAAACCCTGACTCGCTCCAGGAATATCTTAGTGAGGCTTTGAGGGAAGATCCTTTTTCAACACCCAACACCCCCACCACCAGTATACCACCACCACTACCACCCACCCTTCCAATCAAATCCTCCCTGGCAGTGCGCTGCTCCTCATCTCTCTTCCCTGCTTCTTTTGTTCGTCTCTCTCAGCCTCCCACACACCTACCGTCCCTCGGGCTTTTCTCTTTACACTCTCACACACATGCAGGCGTTTACATTTGGCTACTTCCTATGTACTTTGGTTTATTTCTTAACGTCCTCTCCTTCTTTCTCATCACTATCAGACTCTTGGAGGCACTATGTTTGTGTAAGTGCAGGTTCTCATGAGAGGATATTTCACCCAAAACAAAAACAAAGCCTATATTTGGTCCTTTACAATACAGATGTGTGGGCAGCAGCCATCTGGGGCCCGAATGGAGTAACAACGAGTTTGTGTGTAAATGTGTGTTTGTGTGTCACAGGGCGATGGGCCAAACTCAAAGAAGAGCTTCGAAACTGGGGGGCCGTTGTGAAAACCCCCTCCAGAGAGCTGGGAATCTCAAGGGAGAGTGGGAAAAACATCCCGACGGTCATCAATCAAAACTTCGCTGACACAAATGACCATACACAACGGGACTGTTCTCCATCCGTGTCACTGTGTCACCTCCACCCCAAAGCCATGTCCCACCCACCTGCGCTGCCGCCTTATAGGCCCTCACCGTATGCTACCCAACGTGATTGGCCAAACGGTCCCCGGGCGAATTCGTGATCCCCATCGAGGCTAATTGGGTCTTTGTGATTGCGCAGTCTGTCGTGGCGTTGGGGGAGAATAAAACGTGAACATGGTATAATGGTGGATGGAGGAAGAGTGGCAGGTCGAAGTGGGGAGATCGTTTTTTGGCGGCTTGGAGCACCAGATGCTCTTCCTGGGTCCTTTATGATGCCTTACAGGGGATCGAGATGTTTTCAGGGTAGCAACTGCGAAGACACAAAGCGAGTTGGAAACGAAAGAAACTTGCACATGCAAATGCAATCACACTAACACATACAGGTCCATGATTAAAACAATTTAGTGGCCAGGAGCCTTTTGGTCGTCTTTGTCGTTTCTTTGGTTGTCTTTACATTTCAAATCCTCCTATGGTGTTCATCAAAGACAAAGCAAAATGGAGGACTTTCTGTTCCAGCTTTGTGGTTATTTATTATGTATGTACAACAAGTAAAGGAAAACTCTCAATGTAACTGAAGTATTTACTTCTTCAAGCTGTGCCTCCATTGAGTGTGATTATTCACCAGCATCTTCGTGAAAAGGAGAGCGTAGGAGGACGGGTCATGAGCCTGCTCTTTGTTTGCTCCACCACACTTCCCAAGTCCTATGCCTTCTTGTTTATGTTATTACTCAGAATTCATCTGCTCCTCTTCTTTATTATGTCCACACTTTGTGGATGAAAATGATAGAGACTGTTGTAGCAGATGGTGGCTGAATGACTGAAGCTTATCCCCATCTTATTAGCCTAAAAATATCCAACAAACTGCCTTGTCTAGGAGCATTCATGGGCTTTCTCAACCCTTCCTTCAACATCCATCAACAGGTGGCGCTGTAGTCACACTGTTGTGTTGCGCTCCTGTGGACAAAGAGGCTCCAACAACCTCGGCTGCTGTGAGGGAAACCAAATAAAGCAGTTTTGGTCTCTATCAGCAAACTGTGACGCTGTGATGTATTTGTGTGATTCAGCTTAAACCTGACATTGGGATGGGTTTGACTCACGTGCCTGCGGAAAGGCATGTTTTTTGTCACTTTTATGTGTAGTGAAAAATATTTACGTTGACAGGGCATCAAATGTCACAAGCGCTTTTAGTTTCTGAGGGTTCTGCTTTCCTGTAGTTGTTCAGTGGATTACCCAGTCTTCCTTGAAGGAAAATGGAGAACTAGATCTGGTACAAAAAAGGGAAAGTTAGCTGTAACTTATCAGAGTCTCCGTGTAAAAGCCAAAGCAAAAACGTAAAAGTAAAACAAGATACTCCCAACCATCTCTGTTCAAGTCTCTTCTCTTTTAGGTAAAAATAGACCCTGAAGGTGAGGAAAATTCGCTTATCTGGACCATAGTGCTGTCATTTAGCTCATGACGCTTGGATTAGGGGAAGCATCTGACTGTAAGAGACCGCCCCAGTATCCACTGCTGCATCCAACTCGCTTTCACACTTGGGTTCATTCAACACACACTTTTCCCACCGGGATGGAGCCGCTTTACTCAGCGCGCGGAGCACACGCGGAGCACACACGCATTCACACAGCACACATGGCTGCGAATATAAGGCGAATACTTTTTACCTTTATCTGGATAAATACACTAGTTTCGAGTTCGAGGACGAGGATTTATCCACCTAATGAAGGTAAGTTTAAGAAGAGGGATACAGATTTTGGGTTTCAGCTGTCCTGCGCTGCTGGGAGGCTGCTACGCGCATTCACTGTGCGTCCTATAGTGAAGAACAGGGGGATTATATACAATCAACTTTGAACCAGACTGAAAGTTAAAATGAAAGTTGAAAACTTAATAGCTGTTTTTTGGTGTTTTTAAGGAGATTTTGCCTATGTGGAGTTTTACAGTGCATTTTATCTTCCTTTGCTGTAACAAAAGTCCTTTGGTTCTTGGATTTTTCCTTATAATATTGCCAACAAGGCACAAACTGGAACAAAATCTGATGCCAAGGACTATACTCTTCTCATAAATTAATAAATAAATAGTGATGTAAGATCAAATCATAATGCATTAGTAATGGCTGACACAATCTGATTAATAGATTGGATCAGAAATGTAGATTCTTATCAGATCTCATGTCATCAAAACGTATATAAAATAATGCATATCAATACAGTATACTATAGGCTACTATACTATACTATACTATCCCATATAGCTCAGTTTCCCGATCACTATTGATCTTCTATGGCTCTTATTCACTGGTCGCTGCATAATAATTCTTGAATGTATTCTTCATTTATTGAACCCCTGTACCCTGTTTACCCTCAAACCACCTGCATGTGTGTGTGTGTGTTTTTGTGCATGTGCGTTTCAGTGACCCTACTGGATACCAGGACAGTGCCAGGAGAGCTGAAATGGGCAGCCAGTCCTGCAGAGGGAGGGGTGAGTGGGAGCTCTTCTTCTTTTTTCCACGTATTAATTTATTAAATTTTACAGATACTGTTTACAAAATGTTCTCTTTTTGTCAAAAAAAGAAAAAAACACACACACACACACTCCCTCGATCTCCCTCTCTCACACAAACAAACACATACTTGCACACACTTGGTCTGGAAACTGTAAAGAATCATCCCACAGATTTTGAAATGTGCTGTTGTTCAGCGAGCCTAAGTGCTAATATGAGCTCGCTGGCGTCGTGTTTGGCACAGCAGAAAGCATAAACCAGCTTGGTGGTGGGTGTCATTTTTTAGGGATTTTTACTACCAAGCCTTTGCCAGAATGTATCCTGGAAATATCTTTTTGATTGTACATCCTCTCATCTTTTTAAATTTTTGTTTGGTACATTTTGATCTGCCATCTTTATGCCCTTCCTCTTCCTCCCTCCCTCTCTTTTTGCTCAGTTTCTCTCTTATTCAGCTCTTTGTCGGTTTAAGAGTTATTGGTGAACTTGACTCGTATTTCTTCCGTCACCATGCTCTTTTTCTCTCTCATGCTGTTTGATTGACGGGGTCCTGGTCTGCACGCACTGAGCTTTTGATTACAGGCACCCCCCACCTTCTTGCATCCCATAGCTACGAACACACAGACACACAAAACACCATCTCTGTATGGTTGGGGCAAAGCTTCTTTTTCCTCTGACAGCTGTGATATCTGTCTGCTGACAAAGACTCAAAAAAAGACGAGACAAGGAGGCATCATACCCCCTGACAGCTTTTTTTCTTACAGCTTTCCTCCTCCATACACATGCCCAGCAAAGACAGGCACACATAACACACAAACACACAAAGATGTGGCCATGTGCTCATGCTTTCGCTCATGCCAGAAGGCTTTCTAGTGTACGTACTGTACAGAGGAGGAATTCACAGCGATAGACTGAGTAGACAGATGGATCAGTGTTTCTCTTTAAAGGCTATACAGATGTTAATATTTGTGAATAATGAAATTTGAACCACAGTGGACCAGTCAGTGTTCAAACATTGAAGTTATCTGTGAAAAACACAGTTATTCTCTCACTTTGGTACATTTTACTCATTCAAAATAAAAGATCGTTTTGAAAAAATAATGAAATACATTCAAAAACACAAAATAAGAATTAAAATCAAGAACCTTTTATTCAGATTTGCTCCGATTTCTTTGGAGCACAAAGAAAAACAAGCGTAAACATTGTATTCCCTCACTTTTTTCTCTAAAGCTTCAAACATACATCCCAAAGTATTGATTTATCCATGTATTCTTGATAAGCCAACATCAGCCAATAAGATGGCTCCTGATGACATATCGATCAAGCTCAATTAGACACACACTTCATACAGATCCCACCCCTAACACTCACACTTTCCCTGACTCTCCCTCTCTTTTTCTCTCCGTGGACACGGTGCATTTAGTGTGTATACAGCTCTCACTGCTGCAGATTATTATTCAGGGGCAATAAAAAGCCAATTTGGAGTTGGGAGGCTCAGCGGTCATTTGAAGGGTCACAGTACAAGGCAAACAGTCGGCTCTATTGAGATAGATGGTGCAGTGAAGGTTGAGCTCGATTCAATCGTATGAAAATCTGCCTGTTAAAAACCTTGGAGTTGCAACAAATCTGAACCCCTGTACACTGCAGGATATTGGTGCACAAACGCGTGTTAGCTTGTGCGAAGTCAGACAACAGGAGCAGTTCAGCCAGGGCCACATTTGTCAAAAAGAATTAATTACTTGCATGCAGTAGTTATTTACGGCAGCATGGCTCTATCTTGAGAGCTCTCTGCCTTTTACATGAATGTGAGGAATACCAAAGTAAACCACCTCACAGTTTCATGTGCAGAAATGGAAAGCAAAGGCAGGGAGAGCCGCAGCAAAGACCCATACATACATACGACTCTGGTAAAATGTGGAAGAAGGAGCCAAAGAAGGAAAGCTGAAGCAGTTTAAATAGAACGCCCATTTTTACATTTGCTAATTGGATGTGTTGAAAGTAATGAGCTGAGCTGTCAGCTGATATGGGCTGGTGTTAGGATCAGCTGATGCACTAATCTTGACTTCATAGCCTGCCTGGACTAACATTGCATTCCCTTTAACCAAAAGGGAGTGCTTCATCTGAAATATTGTGGCATTTCATTAAGGGCTGTCTCGATACAATATTGATATTGGATATTGGTCTGATATCAGCTCAAAAAAACAAATATTGAATTATATTGGCATGCATCTAAAATCTCTGATATCAGCACTTCGATTCTATGCACTGATCTGTTTTTTTTCTGATCCAATCTGATACCAATACCTGGGCTGGCGTATCAGCCGATATCCGATACCGATCCAATACTACTGTTGAATGAATGAACTGTATACCTTGCCCTGTGAGTGAAGGCATCAGGCTTGACATTAGCCTTGTTTAAAAAGAAAGGTAACAAATTCACACAGATGTAAATTTACTTAATATTATTTATTGATAAATAACAAATTGCACATTAGCACACAGCAAAAAAGAAGTAAGACTTCTATGTTTTAAATGAAAAATTAATTAAAAGAAAAAAAAGACTGGATCGGAACGGTGGATCGGCGTCATTCATCCGATATCTGATCCAGTTAATATGTCAATATTGAAACCGATATTCTATCCAAATATCGGACCAGTGCATCCCTATCTGATACAAGCAGTCCATTCCAGACTCCACTCCGTCACCTCTAGCTAGCAGCACCCGGATCAAGCATCCAGTCGGCTGTGTGGCAGAATTTTTCGTTAAAGTCCGCAGCTGAGTCTAAAACTTGCACAATTTTCTATAGATCAATATCGGTCTCGGCCAATACTGAAGGCTACAAATCTGTAACGTATTGGAAGTGAAAAAGTTGTATCGGGACACCCCTGATTTTATTTTTCTATGAATAGAAATTGTTCTCAGGTTGATAGACTGATCAGCAAAGTTCTCAAGAGAGTCTGTTTTAGAGTCATGTGTTAAAGCTTGTATCTGTGAGAGCTAAAGATTAGAGTCCAGATTGAAAACAGCTTTCAGATGTTTTAACCTTCCCATGACAATCAAGTTAAAGCCACACTTGGGCCCTCATTTAGCTCCTAATTATGTTACGCATGCCATCCGCAGAGGCTATGGTCCTTCAAACAGGCGGCTCTTTGCCACCCCCACTCTCACTTCCTACAGTGTCGCACTTTCCTTCTTTGTCCATTGTCTTATCTTTTCAGTACAGGCAGAAGAAGTCACGAAATAACCTTAAAATAAAAAGCTTTGGTCACATTTATTTCATTTGCAGCTGTGTCCAGGAAGCAAAAAAGTACTTTTGAGAAACTCTGACATTAGATCTTCTGAGTCAGCAACCCTCTAAAGACAACATTACTCATAATCAGATATGGGTGTTTGATAAGAAGAGATTCATTGTGCTCTTAACTGCTTGGCACTAGATCTGTTTTATATCTTTGTTAACGATAGATGGATAATGATCGCCTCAATGCCGCATTCATTTGAATAACATAGCTATCTACGAGCTAGCTGCCCCACTTATCTCATTAAGAAACAAAAGAAAAAACAACCTGTTTTAAAAAAAAGCCGAAAGTGTGCAGTTCTTTGTCTGTTCTTTAATAGAGCTGTTTGTGCGTTTATTCACAGTGGGAAGAGGTTAGTATTATGGACGAGAAGAACATCCCCATCAGAACTTACCAGGTGTGTAATGTTTTGGAGCCCAATCAAAACAACTGGTTGAGGACGGACTGGATCCCTCGGTCAGGTGCTCAGAGGGTCTACGTTGAAGTCAAGTTCACCCTGAGGGACTGTAACAGCCTGCCTGGGGTCACTGGCACCTGCAAGGTACAGAAAGCCTGCTTCAAACATGCTAACAGTGCTCATGGGTTGTGGTATGAATGTGGCGTAGTAAGAAATTTCAACAAAATTTTAAAAAGTCTGGTCTTTTTTTTACCTGCTAACTTTTAAGCTGATTAGTTAAAGGACAGATTGATGCTGATGAAGCTTTATTATATACTACAGCTGCTGGTTTCTCAAGCACAAACTCCCCTTTTGACTCCTCAGACTGAGAGAAAAGATGAACGTTGATGATGATAAATAGACACCTCAGTCTGACTTTTTCCCCGTACTTCTTTTCTTGAAGGAGACATTCAATCTGTACTACCACGAGTCGAACGAAGACAGAGAGAGCTACATCAAAGAGAGCAGCTTCATTAAAGTGGACACCGTGGCAGCAGACGAGAGCTTCACTCAGGTATCACTGAACAACTGAGTCAGGCTTTGACTTCACCATCCTCTCTCCCCAACTCACTTTAATTTGCTCTTATCTTGAAAATAAAACTCCTGGGGGATTTAGCTGTGATTTTTAATTTGTTTTACAAGCAGTGTGTTTTGGATGTCCATTTTGCCACCCTGGGAAAGTTGCCAGTTTTTTGGGCTTTGTCTTTACTTAAATTACTACTGGTTTCAGCATTGTCTGCATTACAGTGTGCTTTACCTTTGATATCAAAGGAAATCAATCTGGATAGAAGCCAAATGCTGAAAAAGTGAAGATCTGCTGTGGTTCAACAGAAACTCCCACTTCAATTATACGGAAAACAAAAACATAAATCGAATGCATCAAGTCTGACACAGTTTTCTGCACTTTCCATTAATGCAACTCCATCCTCTATCCAGGTGGACGTCGGTGACCGCATCATGAAGCTCAACACTGAGATACGGGATGTAAAGGTCACGACCCGTAAAGGTTTTTACCTGGCCTTTCAGGATGTTGGCGCCTGCATCGCTCTTGTTTCTGTCAGAGTTTTCTACAAAACCTGCCCACTCACTATCCGGAATCTGGCAACTTTCCCCGACACTGTCACTGGGGCTGATACGTCTTCCTTGGTAGAGGTCAGGGGGTCATGTGTCAACCAATCGGAAGAGAGAGAGGAACCTAAAATGTACTGCGGCGCTGACGGAGAGTGGCTGGTTCCTATTGGTGGTTGTCTCTGCAGTCCAGGATATCAGGAGAAGGGAGGGACGTGTAAAGGTTGGTTCATTTTATTTTCTGCACTCAAGCTGAGCTCTCTTCTTCTCTTTTATTGTGAAACCATAAACCATATAAAATGTGGACGTAGTCACTGTGACATCATCCAGTTGTAATGATCTATTCAGACTAAAACCGTTTTTGGACCTGGCTGTAAACGTGCTTTTGTGCTGTAAAGGTCGACTTTTTGAATGAGTGTATATGTAGTTTCTGGTGCTTTTGCAGCTAGTCTCAAGTGGACACTTGGGGAACTGCAGTTTTCAGCACATCTGCATCAGCTCTACTTCTGAAGACCAGAGGTTGTTGCACAGGTGCAATATCTGAGTCTTATGATGTTTGAGTAAAAGTCACAGTACCCAGTAAACAGAGAGAGGATATTTAATTAGTGCTGAGATTTTTACCTTTTTTTAATGAATCGGGTCAGCTTTATGAAAGGGTTACGTTTTGAATTGGTGTGCTCTTGAAGGAGAACAACACATTTGGTTATCAGCAGGTTGAAGTTGGTGTTAAAATATGAAAACTTTCCATAACTCCCAAGAAATTAATTCATTTGGTTATTCCCCACTTTCTATTTTTAATAAACTGAGTTATAAAATGATTCTTGGCAAATTTGGTTTAGAGATAGGATTGTTTTACAAGACCATTTTAGAGTTGTAATCTAGCTTTTGAGGCTACAACCTTTGTCGCAGTTTGGATTCCCTGCCTAAAGACACCCTTTGATGCATGTTACTCCCCTGCTCTCTGTCCCCATGTTCCCTGCTTGTCTTTGGCTGTCTTAACTTTTAAAGGGATAAAAAGACAAGGCGATGACAATGCCCCTCTCCAGCTCTCTAAACTGCCTTGTTAATATAAAATTGGAGTCAGAAGATATTAAAGGTTGCAAATGATGAAAGTGCTTGCTTGGTCCTTTCATAAGGGGCCAGAACACAAAGGTTAAAGGTTAACAAGAAGATTCAAGTAAATAACTGCATAGAGACAGAAAACAATTAGATGTGTGCCATCTTGTTTAATGTTATTCAGTGAGCATTTGGACCAGGTTTGGTCATGTCAAAAAAAATTTGATATTAGTAATTAAAGAAATTAATGCCAGATAAATCCAGTTCTAAGTTCAATCATATATACTTTATATTGTCGGTGTCTTGAAGTCTATTCATGCTGGGTCCAGAGACTTTGACAGGAGAAGTAGAGACAACAGTGACTCCAACAGTATTTGACTATGTGCGCTGTAGATGTAGACACCAAGAGTAAACACCTGTTTGGTCTGTTTGTAAAGCTGCAGCTTTCATCACTAGAACCCGCATTGTGCCTGTGTTTTTGTGACACAGCAGCGTGATAGGGATGTTTATACTCTGCAGACTGTACATGCACAGTCTCTGTGGTTTGAGGTCTCACAGAGGTAGATCTCTATTTTAACTCAAGCGTCACTAAAGTTTTCCTCTTCTGTTGCAATTAAATGGTGTAACATTCTTCACCTTCCGTTATTTACACTCGGTCTACCAAAAATCTGCAACTACTAGAATGACCATAGCAGTCATTTTGACTGTTCAGTGGTTATTTGCACATAATTTGAATAATCAACAAAAAAAACTAATAATAAATTAGTGAAATAGATTAAAAAAAACACATCAGTACACAAAATGAAAATTATAATGAATGAGATTTTTAAGAACCTTCCTCAAAATACCAGGACACATCATTCCCTGAAGTTGCTCGGATTTTTCTTCTTCAAAGCGCTGAAGCAAGGCTTAAGTCTCCATACTTGTCATTTTTCTTCTAGTTGTCATTTTTGAGTCTCTTGAGTTTTGAATAAAGTTATAGCAAGATTTTAGCTTTACAGAGCTTAAAATACAAAACAAACAATAGAGCAGGAGAAAGAGCGGGAAAATGTAGCAAACAGCTAAATATAACACCCTTTATAAAAAGTATGCAGTCAATTTGACTGCTCCGGTCATTCGGGGTAGTAATACTCACATCTCTTTTGTGTTTTGAAATTTTAATGATTAAACTATGTTGGAAGAAAATAAACAAACATTCAGGAAAAGTCAGGGTGCGACTAGTGTATAGGTTTTATGTTAAAAAAGTTATGACATTGTAAATTTTGAAAGCAGCCAAAATGACTTCCTTGGTAGTTTGAGTGTTAAAGAGCAGCACACACATGGTGGTGACCGTCAAAACTGTGTAAAACTGTATTTTTAAGGGGTGGAAATGGTGGCGTATTCTTCCAAATTTCTCCAAATAAAAGAATGTTTTTCCAATTTGAACATCCTGATACTTCTTTTCAGTCTGAATATATTAAACTTTTGCACCTCGCTGTCTTGTTAGAAACCAAATAAGATGGAGTATTTTTTTTTTTAAGTTTATAGCAGAAAGAAGAAACAACAGTTGCTTTTTAGTCTGCTTTTCCAAGTAACAGATTACTGTCAGTAATCGCACTGTAGTCCATCGTCTGAATACCACTTCTGTTTGTCTATCATCAGTATCTCCAACATTCTCATTTTCGTCTTTTAATAAATCCAACATTTGCATAGCTTTTTAAATACTGTTCTTAATATTGCTGAGGTCTCAGTATGAGCTGTTCTGACACAAAAACAACCATCTGTACAATTTTTTCACCACTTACAAATGTGGTCTGAACTTTAGGGTCACAAATACTCAAGCTGTTCACACCTCACACCAACATGTGGCAAAGATGACGTGTAATGTTTGAGAATGACTGTCGTGATAGTGAGGACTTCTCAATCTGTGCACCAGTGTGAGAAAGTGGGTTGAACGGGGGACAACAGACTCGGAGGAGACACTTTTACAACATGGCTTCACTCCCCCTATTCAGTCCTATACACAACAGACACACAACATGTTCGTTTGAGCACATACACACACGCAGATGGGCCAATAGAGAAAAAGAAGAGCTGCTCACTGATCTGCTCCCTCAGTTTTATTTATGAAGCCTGTCCCAGCAGGCTAATTGTATAACAAACAGACCCATAATTCAAAGAGGAAAAAAGAAATGCTGAGAAAGAGAAAGACGGAGAGATGAGCATAAAGACAGGATGCAGTCAGTGCCAGTTGGCGAAGAAGAAGGAAAAAAAAAAAACTTGACTTTTTTTCTTCTTTGCATTAAGAAGCCAAAACTCTCCTTGTGACAAACGTTCCCGACAACCTTCACCCCATTTGGCCCGTTTGTTCTCTGTGAAAAGGAGGCGGAGGTTGGCGGGGTGGTCCCTGAGGCCTGAAAGATGTTCCTCCTCAACTAGATTTAAGAGAGACCCTTGACTCTGTTGAACCTCAAGCAGATGTGAAGTGCCATCTATCTGTCCGCCGCTCTCTTCTCCATCTTCCTCGCTCTCGCTGCCTGTCAGTGTTGTTGGCCGGGTTCAGCTGCCTCAGTGGAAATCCATCAAAGTCTGGATGAATACCGAATGCATCTTGGTGGAAAAAAAAAACTCTGACCCTGCAGTATTGGATAGGGGCCTTAACGTTTCTCCCATTTTAAGTTTGAGATTCACAGAGAAAGAGAGGGGGAGGAAGGGCAGAGAGGGATGGAGGGAACAGGCAGATAGATGAGAGTAGATTTAGATCCTCGGTCTCTCATGCCTTTGCTGATGTCGAAAGGTTTCTGGATCTCTCAGACTCTTTGTCAGTGTAACTCACTCAGTTACACTCAAGAAGACTGACAGAAATTGAGTAAATATAGCTGAGACAGAGACACCAGGGACTCCTGCTGGGTTCATTTAGGACCATACAAGAAAGGCAGAAACATAAATCTATCTTTTATCTTTTAAAGGGAGACTTAAACAGTTTGGAATGTTATCCTTTTCATTTTTGGCCAAAAGTACAATGAAAAGATTGGAAAATCACAACCTCAAAGAAATGTTCCCTAAAAATAAACCTGTGATATGATGGCAGCTCATCTCTTCACCTTGATATGGTTTTTAAACATTGACAAAAACATTTTTGGGGGTTTGGTTTTGTCAGTTGTAGATTATTCTTTCTTAGTTAAGTTTTTAAGAACTGAATACACAGCCTGACTAGCTGTTTCTAGTAACCACACTGCAAAACAAGCAAATCTTTATGAGTCTATTTGGGTCATTTATTGATTAAAAAAAGCGTTTACTCTTGGTACAAGTGAAGTTGGCTTTGAAAATTCAGGTATTCTAATTTATAGATACTGCAATCTATATTATGCAATATTTATAGTAGCAAATATTCTCAGTGAGTTTCTCGAAATGTGCATTACATTTTTTCAAGACATCATCAGGAAAAGTTCTCATAATGTTTCGAAAGCCGTTTTTATTCCTTCTTGTGACTAAAGTCCATATTTTTGATTTACAATGTCTGATAAGATTCATATCTGCATTTGTCAAGTCAATATGAGATATTTTGACTAGTACAATCTTTAAGATTTGACTGTATTCACAGATTTATTTTGCTAGCTAAGAACACAGCCTTCCTGTTTTCCTTTTGAGTCCACTCCCAACTATACTAAGCTAACATTGTCTTTCTAATATTGAATTTCGATAAAAAAAAATTGTTGAATTCGTGAAGAATCCTGGAGAAGGCTTGATTGTGTGTTCAAGGAATGAAAAGAAAGATATAAAAATCCAGTCAGCAAGGTGGAATTTTGAAGACTTGTAAACTTTTTTGTTGAACTGAGTGAAGGTGTGAGTTTATCTTCTATTTTCTCACAATAATGAAAATCATCCCTCGGCAAGAACACAGGTGTGAGCATCTCCTCTTCTTTTACTTTGATGCAGAAATTCTTGATTTTTTAGTGGAAAACTTTTAAATAATGCCAGACTGTCTTTTTGAGGTTCCTTGAAACTGTAACAAAAGTAGAACAACAAAGCAAAATCAGTTAAAGTATTACTTTACTTTTTGAAAATATCGATC